GCTCGATTGATATCCTCTTTCAATGGCGTACTCGCCGTATGACCCAAATCCATGTCATCGAATGGAGCGTTCAGCCTCTCCACGCTAACCATGTCCCGATCATCCTTACGTCTCTCTCGCTTCTTCCACCATTTTCTCGCTGCCACGATCATCCATCCCGAGCTACGTCCAAACCACGGCAATCCGGCGCAATGCTGCGTCGATTGAAAGAAATGCCGCACCAGGGCAGCGAAGAAAAAACCCTACGTGAGAGATCTCACTAGGGGAACACTGACCGAACTTCGATCAAGAAAGATCGAAATCAGAAATAACCTAGCGGCGACTCTGCGGAGTATATATTACTTAAAAACACGAAATTCAAGTGATGCAGGTATCCAATATAAATAAAAGAAATTTGAGAAAATAACTTTAAATAATATCAAATATCTTTATTAATCAAGAATAATACATACTTTAGAAATAAATTTTAATAATATCAACTATTTGAATATAAACTAAAAGTAAAATAGAGTCGCTTTTTTACAAAAAATCCAGTCATTTAAGACATCGCTTTTGATGAGCTAAATAACTGAGTTTTTAGTGAAAATTTGCTATAAATCACTTTTGATATATATTTAAATAGTTGATATTATGAAACGTTATTTCTAAAGTTCGTATTATTCTTGTTTCATGGAATATAGTTGATATTATTTAAAGTTATTTTTTCAAAAAACTCGTTTACTAATATATATATGTGTAGTTGTTTAAATACATTTTATCCTAAATTGATGCATCTTATCTTACACCCTTGCCAATTCCTACTACTATTAATGAACCATGTCGTTTTAAACTATTCATGTGTCACATGTCTTATGTCTTCAATGATAATTATACTCATACTACTATGTGTACCCGTGCACTGCACGGTAAAATATGTGTTTAAAATTTTTAGAATTGCAGAGGAAATGAATTAATTGTATGCGATTACGCCAATCAGAGTTTAAAACAAAATTCAATCCATACGATTAGCTCATTTCATCCCATTTCACGATGGGTTAGACTGTCGGTCTTCAATCTCATGAACTCACCGGTTTCGTGGGTCAACTTGCATGGGTTGCAGGTTAAGTGAGTTTACTCATGCAAATTGCGAGTAAACCAAAATATAAATATTTATTTTTTACTTTCAGTGTCTTCAATATTGATGTTTTACTACCAAAATATGTTTTAAATCTATTTATTATTTTACAACCCTTGTTAAAATATTGTTCCTATACATAATAATAATTGAAATAAATTACCCTAGCATTATTCTTATATATGATTGAACTGCAACGTTAGATTCGAAAATTGTACATTATATATAAGGTTGAGCTCCAATGAGAAGACATCTTAACGTGTAAAAAGAGAATTTGAATAAATCGGATTGTTAGATTTTAAAATTGTGGGAATAGAAATATGTGCTGTCATAAATAAATAAAAATGTAGTGACATTTTTGTTAGTAAATTCAACCTTCCCTAACCATTTAAAGTCTGAATTATTTTAACTATAAATGTAATGTGCACCTCCATTAAAAAATGTGCATCGTTGAGATCATTCTCATCATTTCAGATCATTAGACAGCTAGTTAGACGACCCAAGTTATGAAAAGCATAATCTACCAAAGGTTGGGTAAGATTGGGGAGTGCTAACCCATTTAACAACGTGAAACATAAAAGTGAATCTACCTTTAGACATTGATTTGGTAGACCTTGTAAATTAGTAAATAGATAACTAATATAATACTCCGTATCACATGTTGAAAAAAGAGTATATCTAGATATAATGTTGAAATGAAAAAGTGGGGACAATAATGTAAGAATGATGTAGAACTACACATGTATTATAATATTTGGAGTTACACAAACTTAGTGAACGAAAGAAAAAGGAAATGTCAGAGAAAATTAATGAGACGGAGGATGTAAAAATTATCCTATTTTGGAAAGAAATAAGAAACAATTTATAAAAACCCAAAATAAGGGAGAATCTCCAAGAGTTTATGAGAAATGAAATAGAGAGTAATATTTTATTTTAAGAACGACTAAAAATTGTTAATTCTTTTTTACTTTTGAGTATTTGAATTTTGTAATACCAGCGAGCGCAATGTTTTTTACAGAATTTTATATAGAACATCATGACAAATATATAAACATATATTAATACAAATATAAATATATATATATATATATATATATATATAATATTGGAATATGTAAGAGTAGAGTTTTGGAAGTTGAATAGCTTTTTCTTTAACTATAGTGTTGCCACATGTCATTTTTTCATACAAATCATGTTGCCACTTGTCAATAATTCCTCCAATTACAAATGGTTCTCCAAGGGATTGCTTTATTATATTATATAGAAAATTAATGAGATGGAGGATGTAAAAATTATCATATTTTGGAAAGAAATAAGAAACAATTTATAAAACACCAGAATAAGGGAGAATCTCCAAGAGTTTATGAGAAAAGAAATAGAGAGTAATATTTTTATTTTAAGAGAGACTAAAAATTGTTAACTATTTTTTACTTTTGAGTATTTGAATTTTGTAATACCTGTGAGCGCAAATTGTTTACCTAATTTTATATAGAACATCATAACAAATATATATATATATATATATATATATATATACATATATATATATATATATATATATATATATATATATATACACACACATATAATATAAGAATATGTAAGAGTAGAGTTTTGGAAGTTGAATAGCTTTTTCTTTAATTTATTGTGTTGCCACATGTCATGTTTTCATACAAATCATGTTGCCACTTGTCAATAATTCCTCCAAAGGGTTCTCCAAGGGATTGCTTTATTATATTATATAGATGACACATACAAAATATACATAGTCATATATTAGGAAACACAAGGGTTTTGGTGATATTATATACTTTTATCTAATTAATAATCAAAAAATAATGATTCAAATTGATAACACCTTGTTATCCCAATATAGTTCCATCAAGAGAAATTGTCCAATATAGGAGTAGACATAAACATAATTACTTCTTTAATAGGTGTAAACATTAATTTTCTATCCTTAATACCTCTAATCTAATTAATTCTTAAATATGACTTATTGGATGCTATCAAAATATTTAAAAAATCTAAAATATTTTCAAAAATATTAAAATAATGAAATTAAAAAAATAAAAATAAAAAACTTTAATAAAAAAATAAGAATTACATAATACACCTTAAAAAAAAAAAAAAAAATTATGGAGGCCTTTCTCACAGCCTCAGCCATCGCTCAGCAATGCCACCTCAGATCGACAAAAAACTACCATTTTGTGTAAAAACTGTCATTTTTTTAAAATGCCATCTCTTTGAAAATTCCAAATTTTCTCAAAAAACTGCCATCAAGATAACATTTTCTACAAATATTGGCATTTTTTACGGTGGTTGGAGCTGGTAGTGCTGGGAGGTTGTTGAGCTGGTAGCTCTGCTCTAGCTTCCACATCTGCACCGGCTGCTAAAAGTCTGTAATGGTGTTGGGAGGTTCTTGAGGCGGCAACAGTGGCCTGCATATTCATTTACAATTTTTACATTTTTTTATTTTTTATTTTTATTTTTTTTATTTTTATTTAATAATTTTTTATTTTATTTAATATATATTTTCCTGTTTTTTTTTTTACATTTTTATTATATAAGACAATGTTATTTCTTTTATGTTTTAATTATTAATGAAAGTGGTTGGGAGCTTGGGGCTGGGGTATATTTGTCCAAATACTAAAATTACTCTTATTCAAAGGGTACTCCTATTTTTACATTTTGTGTATGTTTTACTCGTATTTAGTGATTTTAGTTTCCGAACACTTTTTAAAAAAAAAAACTAACTACAGTCAACCAACAAACAAGTAAGGCTTTATCTTAATTAAATGTTTGAATTCGGTCAATATTTAGACTTGTGTTAGCGACCATAGTTAGTTAAATACTGTACGAGAATTAAACGAGGTTTAATACGTACGCGTTTTATTCGGTAACACGAATGAAAAAATGGTCAAAAATTCGTTGAAAAATACGATGACTTTTAAAAAACATGTGAATACATATACGTGTATAATACGATATATGTTAAAAACATTCGAACAAAAAATACAGTTATTATTTTGAGCATTTAAAGTATATATATACTTCACAAAATAAGATATATAGTAAAAAAGAAATAAAAGTATACACATATTCAAGTAGCAAATCTCATTACCACATAAAAGAATAATTCGTAATTGCATAAGCCTATGACAAAAATAAAAATAGTAATCAAGTCCAAGGCATAATTTTTCAAAATAAAGTAAAAAAATGAGGCATAATAACAATAGATGAGACTAAGTTAAAATCATTATCTTTATATGATCATCAAATAATATTCAAGTTAAACTCATCATTTTCATCAAGATGATGGATGACATGGAGAAGTGTGTTGTACGACTGCTACGCTTATTATTGTTTATGTGTAAAACTGTAAAAGATTATACTAAAAATATTTCAGGTTTAGAAAAACCTTAACTTTGATATGCTTGATTGGGAAAACATCATTAATCCAATAGTATCTTAAATTTTGGTGTTTAATTTTAGGAAGAGCTTTAGCCGTTATTACTCATTAGTTAATTTTATCCATTTTCAAAGTAATTAATATTAATGATGATCCCTTATGGATTCACCTATATACGCCGCGGCTAGGGTTGCAAAAATAAGAGCCAATACAAAAACACGTGGTCATGAGGAGAATGCTTTCATTTTTGCTTTTAAGCTATTGTTGATCTCATATTCACTTATTCAATTGATCAATTCATGTTTCTATTTTTTGTAAAATACGGAAAAAATACATTTTATACGAGAAGTAGGAGTTTTTACTTTTATAAATGGACTAACATTATTTTTCATTTAAAACGCATTTTTTTTTGTTAAAAAAATAGTATGTGTTTAAAACGCAAAAAAAAAAAAGCTTACTAGCGAGAGCTGACCGGCTGACCCTAAGAAGGCGGTGGTCTCCAAGGCGATGTAATTTTCTAGCCACCCCCTCCAATCGTAACAGATTAAAAGTTTGTCTATGTTTCACTTTTATTCGATTTCTTTTTATGAGGGTTTTAGGCTTTGTTTGCAATCACTTGAAAAGTGATTTTGGCTTTTTTTTTTTTAAAAACACTTATTTTACCAAACACTACCAACTTTTACTATCTCGGTTTTTGTGTAGAATCTACTTTTTACTTTTTTTCTATTACACAAAAAGCACTTATTTTACCAAACACTACCAACTTTTACTATTAATCTCTTTTTCCCAAAAAGTGCTTTTATTTAAACACAAGTGGTTGCAAACAAAGCCTTAGTATTGGTTCAACTTTTTCTTTGGCGAGGGCTTTGTTCGGTTCATGAGGTGAGTGTGATATATGTTCTTTGTCTAGCTATGTCTAGAGTACAGCCGGTTTGTTTTTTGTCATTATAACACATCGAGTGATGAATTTTCATTGTTCATGATTTACAAGGCTGGTTCAAACTTATTTTTCCTAGTCATCAATTATTCGTCTTCCTCCTGAACCACTCTCTCATAATGAGAAAAAAATAACGCTCAATTGAATCTCATTTTCGGTGGATGGTTAAACCGATGATTCAAACAATTTCTACTTGGTAAAGTTTCCTTTGTTAATTGCTAGTCAAATATGTTTGTCCTTTCTGATGGTTGGTGAAGCCGAATCTTTTATTTGTAATTTTTATTTTTTTATTTGGTGTAGCAAGTGCAAAAAGACTGTTGGACTAGATTACAGTTTTATGGAGTTAGGGATCTGGAATTAATTATTTGTTTTTTAGTATGATAACTCATCCCGTTGTAGCTTAATTATTTATTCTTTTGTTCATTTGCTATCATTTAAAGAATAAATAAGTCATTTTATGTAATAAAATGATTCATCATTGTACAGTGACTCTACACATGGATTTTAATTATGGATTTTTCGAATATGTTTGTGATAATATAGTTTGTAACTCATATATATGTATATATTGCAGAAAAGCATATAATGTTAAGGCCGCACACCTACCATCCATTGGATCCTTTATCCGGCGCCGAGATCTCAGTAGCCGTTGCAACTGTTAGAGGTGCGGGTGACACCCCCGAGGTATATATATAATAATTCGCTACCTACGTACGTGAGAGGACGTCGAGAAACGTTCTCTTTTCTTGAAACTCTTTCAATTTTATCAACCCCTTTATTAAAAAAGTACTCCAAGAAAATATTACTCTCTACAAAACATGATTGGCAACAATTTTTTTAATGATAAATATGAATGGTAACAATTCTTTTAAGGGAAAAGGAACAAAAATACCCTTGTAATATGGGTGTTGGAACATATATACCCCTGTTCTTTTTTTTGGAACAAATATAACCCTGAACTTTTAAAAAGGTGCAAAAATATCCCTCTCTTTCTTATAAAGGGACAACTTAATCCTTATTGACTTTAAATTAATAAAATGAATTTAAAAAAACACCGAATATAAATTATAAATTCGAAATTAAAAAACAAAATTTTTAAAATGTAATGGTGTCCAATTATCCCTTTTATAGTTTTTATATCACAATTTAATACTCCGTATTGTTTAAGTATGAAATATTATTTCAAAATTTTACTATATGTTTAAGATTCTTTCGAAAAGGTGCTAACATATGTTTCGTAATGTAAGGAATTTTTTTTTTTTTTTTTGCATTCTTTGCACTATAAAATTACATATTTTGAAATAATATTTTATACTAAAAATATTAAATTGTGATATACAAACAATTAAGGGAGAATTGGACACAATTACATTTTTTAAAATGTTTTATTTTTTAATTTTGATTTTTTAATTTATTTTTGGTCTTTTTTGAAATTTATATTATTAATGTAAAGTCAATAAGAATTAATTTGCTCCTTTATAAAAACATGAGGGATATTTTTGCACTTTTTTTAAAGTTCAGGGGTATATTTGTTCCAAAAAATAGAACATGGGTATATTTGTTCCTCCACCTATATTACGGGGGTAATATATGAATGGTAACAATTTTTTAAATGATATAAATGAGTAATGTATGCTCATTTTAAAATGTGATATCAATGCATATTTCAAAAGAATCATATTAGATTACGGGCATGTTTGGCACAACTAGCTGAAAAGATACTTTTGTGAGCTTTTTAATAGCTGTTAGCTTTTAGTGATTGAAAAGATCTTAAAAATAAAAGGTGGTAGCTGTTTGATGAAAAGCTGACTGTTTGATTTAGTTCGGTTTGGTATACAAGCTGTTAAGATTAATTAATACTAAAAGTCACTAGCTTTTCTTAGATGCTACTCCCGGTAGCATCTCAAAAAAGATCTTTTAATTTTTGAAAAGCTCTTAAATATTGTCATGCCAAACACACAACTAGAAGCTTTTAGGAACTTTTTGAACAGTACAAAAGCTAGAAGTCAGGGACTTATGCCCGCCAAACATAGCCTACATTCACATATGATTTGATTATAGGCACATGAGAAGATAATGATACTCGATCAATTGCATGATTCTAATACTTAATAGAGAAAGTTGGATGTTAAATGAAAATGTTTTGATGCTCAACTAAAAAAAATATGATTTTCATATCAATGCTCATTTTGTAAGTTGCGTCTGCTCATTTGATACTAACGGTACCATGGACTGTGACCATCACCCAATTAAAGATCTGACACGTGAAGCCCATCATACGGGATTAATAGCGTAAGCCCATTAATCGTGATTAATTACTCAATAAAGCCAATTGGGCCTCACAGGGGACAATGACCCGCAAAAGGAACCCTTATCCAGGCCGACTTGATCAGCAGGCCTCGAGCCTGACCTGGATTCTAGCGAGGTCAGACTCGCCCTTGGGCCTACGTGGTAGGCTATCGGTTAAACATAGCTATTTGGTAGCGGCAGGGACTTAACGGAATAGATGTGGACATGAAAGAGTAATAAAGAGGAATAATGGGATACATTAGAAGAGTCCTATCATGATTAGACCTATTAAATGTACCGGTTATATCTCCTTAGGCTATTGTAGCCCTATGTCTATAAATACATCGTGTACTTACCCTAAAAGGGATCCGCCTCCTAAATAATAAAAAATGCTTTTAGTCTTTTACGCTGCCTAAATACTCTATTCTCGTAGATTAGCTCTCATAGTTGGAATTAAACTCCATCAAATAATGTTGTTGTGCTCATTTTTAAATTTCATATCAATGCATATTTCAAAAATACCATATTACATTAGATTCGCGTATTGAAATTCATAGGAGCTAATTGTAGATATAATTTAATAAGTTTTTTTAAAGAAAAAATAAGAATAAGAAAGTGAATTAGATGATGAATCAGAAATCACGATGAACAATATTGGACTCCTAATACTCAACAGAATAGGTCTAATGCTCACTAAGAGTGCATTAATGCTTATTTAACAGAAACTGAGATTTTCACATAATTTACAGAAATGTCACTGGTTGTACGATATAGGGACTCCGACATGATACGCTTAAGTGGCACTATGTGATCCTGAAAAGTTCCTTTTATATACTCTATATGTCCTATATTTTATTTTTGGTTCGTCCCACGCACTAAGTTTGCTTTATATGAAATTTGGTATTATTTACGCGGTTCTAAATCATTCTTACTTTATTCTCACTTTACAATCCAATATCAATCACATAAACTCAATTGACTCATTAAGCACACCACCTCCTCTCATACTAAACTTAGCAGGCTAGAGGTAATATATATATTCATTTAAGAGTTTTGGTAAAAAAGATCGGAAGTACGTATTAATTTAATGGGGGGATTTGAATTTGCACATCATTTTTGGACGATATTTGACTTTGCACCATATTTTCATTTTCAAAATCATATGATATTATGTGAACCCCATTTCACTAAGAAATCATTTGGCTTTGCACACCACTCTTTCACAATTTTTGGGCTGATGGGTGCACACATAAGTGATTCTGAAAATGGGGTAGAAGGTTCAATATCGTCCGAAACATGGGGTGCATAGTCAAATCCAGTAATTTCATCCTTCAAAGTGATGTTTAATAATGAAATGTTTTAGTATGAGCGTAATAAACTGATAATAAACCATAAAAAATGTTTATATATTACTAATATATTACTAAAGCATATATTGGTTTCCAAATTATGACCTCCACTACCTTATTTTTTAGGACATTCTTTATGACTTTATGTAATGTTATTCTTTCTATTGATGATTTTCTTCATGCCTGACCAAATAAATAACACTATAGCAATAAAAGCATTAATTATCAAATTAAATTTGAACACTGGTAGTTACATTTAAAGAGTGGCAGATATTGATTAAGTTTTTATAGTGTAGTTAAAATCATAATGCTAATACGTATATATTTTCAGCTATTAACAAACACGTATAAATGTATTGCATTAAATATGAGGAATATTGTGAAAATGTCAAAACAGGAGTACAAGTTTAAAATTCCAAAGTTAATTTAGATTTCATTTGTGTAGAAGAATTAATTATATGAAAAAGTGAATGGAATGATGAAATGAATTAATTATAGATGGAATGTGTCCAAGGTAATTAGGGCCGAGAATAAAGAGCTGGTATGTATGTATAGAATATATTGATGATTTGCTTGTGTACGTAATAGGGAAAATTGATGGAATTGGCAGGTAAGGGATGGAATGCGATTTATTGAGGTGGTGCTGGTGGAGCCAGAGAAGAGGGTAGTGGCATTAGCAGATGCATATTTCTTCCCGCCATTCCAATCATCGTTGTTGCCGAAAACAAGGGGAGGGCCTCCCATCCCGACCAAGCTCCCGCCGCGCCGAGCTCGGCTCATCGTGTACAACAAGAACACCAACGAGACCAGCGTATGGGTGGTGGAGCTGGCTGAAGTGCACGCGGCAGTCCGTGGCGGACATCACAAGGGAAAGGTCCTCTCGTCCAATGCGGTTCCGGATGTTCAACCGCCCATCGATGCTCAGGAGTATGCTGATTGTGAAGCTGTGGTGAAAAGTTACGGTCCCTTCATAGAGGCAATGAAGAGAAGGGGCATTGATGACATGGATGTTGTGATGGTGGATCCCTGGTGCGTGGGGTATCACAGCGAGGCGGACTCTCCCAGGCGGAGGCTTGCAAAACCGCTCATCTTCTGCCGAACGCCCGACAGCATTTGCCCCATGGAGAACGGATATGCGAGGCCGGTGGAGGGCATTCACGTGCTTGTGGATGTCCAGAATATGGTGGTCATCGAGTTTGAAGACCGCCGCCTCGTGCCTCTGCCGCCCGCCGACCCCTTGCGCAATTACACCGCAGCCCAAACCCGGGGAGGAGTTGACCGAAGCGACATTAAACCGCTGCACATCACTCAGCCAGAGGGCCCTAGCTTTCGCATCAACGGAACTTATGTTGAATGGCAGAAGTGGAACTTTAGGATTGGGTTCACACCGAGGGAAGGACTGGTGATACATTCCGTGGCATATCAGGACGGGAGCAGAGGCAGAAGACCCATCGCGCACAGGCTGAGCTTTGTGGAAATGGTGGTGCCGTATGGGGACCCGAACGACCCCCACTACAGGAAGAACGCGTTCGATGCCGGGGAGGACGGGCTGGGGAAGAACGCCAATTCCCTCAAGAGGGGGTGCGATTGCTTGGGCTGCATCACCTACTTCGACGCCCACTTCACCAATTTCACGGGCGGGGTGGAGACGGTCCACAACTGTGTGTGCTTGCACGAGGAGGACGACGGGATAATGTGGAAGCATCAGGACTGGCGCAGCGGGCTGTCAGAGGTACGCCGCTCCAGGCGCCTCACCGCCTCCTTCGTCTGCACCGTCGCCAACTACGAGTACGCCTTCTACTGGCATTTCTACCAGGACGGCAAAATTGAGGCCCAGGTGAAGCTCACTGGGATTCTGAGCCTGGGGGCCTTACTGCCCGGGGAATCCCGCAAGTACGGCACCATCATTGCTCCCGGCTTATACGCCCCGCTTCATCAGCACTTTTTTGTGGCGCGAATGAACATGTCCGTGGATTGCAAACCCGCCGAGGCCCACAACCAGGTGGTTGAAATGAATGTGAGGGTGGAACAAGCCGGGGACGACAATGTCCACAACAACGCCTTCTATCCCGAGGAAACTCTGCTGCGCTCGGAGCTGCAAGCCATGCGCGACATTGACCCCTTCTCTGCCCGCCACTGGATTGTCAGGAACACCAGATCATTGAACAGGACCGGAGAGGCCACCGGATACAAGCTCGTTCCAGGCCCCAATTGCCTACCAATGGCGGGTCCCGAGGCCAAGTTCCTGCGTAGAGCCGCATTCCTCAAGCACAACCTCTGGGTAACTCAGTATGCCCCCGGAGAAGACTTCCCCGGGGGAGAGTTCCCCAATCAAAACCCGCGTGTGGGCGAGGGCTTGGCCTCTTGGGTTAAGCAAGACCGCAATCTCGAAGAAACTGATATTGTGCTCTGGTATGTTTTTGGAATCACCCATGTTCCCCGCCTCGAAGATTGGCCTGTCATGCCAGTTGAGCACCTCGGTTTTATGCTTCAGGTACCCACCTATACATGAATAAATCTACACCTCGCTTCCTATTTCTTTACATCTTTCCTACAGTTTTTTTGTTTCAAAATACTTAACTATACTTATATTTTATTCTTAATCTCCTTTTCTCTCATGTTTCATCTTCTCTTTCACAAATTATCCCAAAGCCTAACGTAACGTTGCAAATAAACAAATGCATATAGAGATATGGTATATGATGTGAAAGTGTGTTGCGAAACTAAGTGTGTATACTGACTGATCATACAATCAAATGTTGAGTGTTCAAAATTAGTTTACCACTAAAAGGTTGCCCAATAATGTTGCTTGATCCAACAATTAAAGAAATGTAACTTTTACAACAAAAGACTAGCAAATTGAATAAATATTAAATTATTCCATAATTTCTATACAATGTTTTGGACATTCCTAAATAAAGTTTATTTCCTTATTTAGTAAAGAAGTTCTTATCAATTTATTCCACCACACTCAAAGTAATAATAACTTTACAATGTTACTCTACAATACTCAGTATCATTTACCCTTGCATCCTTGTGTTATTCAAATCAGGAAGTTTTTAAGGGACGGAAATCATCATCATCATTACCCCAGTGCCGCAAAGGCTCTCCCACCTATGGTGGGGTAAGGGGGTCGGATGTACGTAGCCTTAACCTTGTACTAAAGTAGAAAGAGGCTGTTTCCAGAAGACCCATAGTGAAATTCGAGTCAAAAATTGCATAAACCTACTGTTGCGTCATAACAAAGAAGCAATAAGCCATTTTAAAAGGACATATATGTTCTCATTGACTGAATTGGCTAAAAATATGTAGATGTTTATTACTCAAGCCATATTATTTTTTGTTTTATGAATGGATGCTAGTGATGAAGATTGAAGAAGATGTAAAGTACTACAATTCCTTGATTCACAAAAAAAGCTTTAATAAATTTATAATCGAGATATTATTGCAAAGCCTAGCAGCTAATTTCACAACTCACATGTGTTGCTTGCAGCCACACGGATTCTTCAACTGTTCCCCCGCAGTGGATATTCCTCCGCCGCAAGGATGCAACTCAGAGACAAGGGAGACATATCATGCGGACAGGGCTTCATCTCACTCTTTGATTGCTAAACTCTGATTCTTTTGTTTCCGAAATCAATCCAAATTACCTCGCCTAGCTAGACGAAAGGCTAATTCACACCAAACTTTTTTTTGGGTTTCCACTAGCAACAATAATTATAATATTATATACTATCGTACTTTTCTTGTCATTTCTACGTTGAGGCACGAAAGAGTGTTTTGAAATTGTCACTTTTTCATCAATTGATTGACTTTGGAACCAATAACCGGAAAATCTGATCGAACTAATAATAAGATAATCGGATCGAACATTAATTCATCACTAGTTCCTATTTTTCTTATTAACGATTCAGTTCTCGGGTAGGAAATCTCTTTTTTATTTTCTTACTAAAATATTTAATTTGTTACGTACTTATGTTTGAAACTTAAATTTACTTTGAACGTATTTGTATTTCTTATAATTTTAAAGTTCGATGTTGATGGTACATGGATCACAGCCATGGTCCAAGAGTAAAACTCAATAAAGCCCATTACACAGGAATAGTGAACCAAGTCCATTAATCGGGAATAAATAATCAGTAATAGCCGATGGGCCTAACAAGGAACTCGACCTGCGAGAGGAACCGACAATCAGGCTGGTCTGGACAGCAGATCTCGAGTCTGGGCAGGATGCTAGCAAGGTTAGACTTGTTCTAGGGCTTACGTGGCAGGCTATCAATCTAGCATAACCATCTGGCAGCGACATGAAACTAACGGAAGAAACGTGGACCTAAGGGAATAATGATTACACAATAATTGGGACGTTACAAGAGTCCTATCATGATTAAATATAGGGAAAACTATCGAATCAGCCCACATACTATTTCGAAAAAGTCAATTAAGTCCATATACTATTTAATCAATCATCCCTGACCTTGAGATGAAACGGTTCAGGTTGCCATGTTGATGATGGCTTGAATTTTCTCCGGATTTGCTCCGGAACCGCAATCATCATTTTCTATGGACCGAAGACCGGACCTGAATCTAACCGGTCCAGACTGATCCGGACCATAATTTTCCTGTCCGGTCCGGTGATGACCCTAACTGACCCGGTTTTAAAAAAAGACATATTACCTTCGAGTGTTCTTAGCCGACCCCAAATTGTTTTAAGAATAAAGCTTGGATGTTGTTGTTGTTTCAAACTATAATTTTATGTGCGGATATGCTAAGTAGACTAAATAATTGTTTAACTCATTTATTAATTTTGGAATATAGTCATCAAAACTATTCACAATTAGTTTCCAACAATAATTTAAACTATAATCTCTTGTGTATAATAAAATGAAAAAATCTATTGTAGAGTAATAAAAACTAAATTACGTCAAAACATATACTACATCCGTTCTCTTTTAATTGCAACCTTGGACTTTTTGCACTATTCACGTATTCTACTTTGACTATATTTTATTGATTAATGTATTTATTATAAATTAATTTTTTTTAAGATATTGTTAAATTCTTCTCATTCTAAATTTTCAAAATATGAATTTTTTAACTTTTTTACGAATATGGAATGAAAGATATTAGTAGTCAAACTTGTGCGTTGGCAAACGTGAAATGTTGACTGTTGCAATTAAAAAGGAACGGAGGAAGTACTACGTATAAACTACATGCACACTTGCAAATAAAGAAATAAATAAAAAGAAATTTGAAAAAATCAAACAAATATAAACTACGATCATAGTAGTGCACACCTTCACATAAATAAACAAATCAAAAACAACTTAAAAATAATTAGACACCAAATATACACTCTCTCTGTGTGTGTGTGTGTGTGTGTGTGTGTATATTCGTTTATATAATAAAGACAAAAGTAAGCCATAAACATAATAATGACTAATTATACAAAACAATGTATATATTTTAGGGAACAATAGGTTACCGGTCCATTGCGGTCTGAACCTGTTTTTTCCGGGTTTTACCCGGACCGGACCGGAACCCGGAATCTTGAAAAACTATGGACCGAAACCCGGACCGGTTAATACCGGTCCGGTTCAGGTCTAAAATACGGTCTGACCCGGTTAATGCACAGCCCTACCTACAATTACCCCCTATGGGAGTATTTATAGGAAAAATGTGGGTTGGGCTCCAAGGACTTGGGCCTGGGAGGCCCGATACAAAATAAGGCCTCTTATGGGATGAGTACATGATTTCTAATGCTAAGTATAAAATCTAGTTTGCTGGAGTCCCGTTGGCCAAAGGAGGACCAGGCCGACGGAGGCCTAAGATTCTGCTCCTAGGCTTC